TTGTGGAACTGAAAATGTTATTGTCTCTTCCTTCTAGGCCAATATAGTGAATTTTAAAGCTTTATTGATAGTAAATTTAGTGATTGAAAGTTTACTAATTTAAGTCATTCTAACTATTTTTCGTTTTGAATGGATTGTTGTCACTTTTTTCACATTTTAAATGAATTGTTTCTTTTATTTTTGTGTATGGTTAATAACCGAATAACCGAACCAAACCAAACCGAAACCGATAATAACCAAACCGATAAATGTATATTGTATTTGGTTTGGTTTGGTTTTGATAATTTTAAAACCGATCAAGTTGGTTTGGTTTTGGTTTTGACCAATAACTGATCCAAACCAACCCGTGAACACCCCTAGTTACACATATCGGAATCTACAGTTTCTTTTAATTTTCCACTCTAATACTAAGTACATTATTAAGTGCCTAGATAGATCATAGATGAACTTATTATCTTTGCAAAAGGACAATTCAAGACAAGTCTGACAATATTAAAATATTAGATTCATAATTCAGACGTCTCGGGTTTGAATCTCCTTGAATATGAACAATCTTTTGTTAACAAGAATTTTACTCTCCGGTGCGAATCCGTAATTTTGATGACTACGTGACATATATAAAATGTTACAGTAGATAAGGTTATTTTTTATATGTTTACGAAGTCACTGTCGACAAATGAAATCAGTTTCTTTGTAATTAATCACATAAGAAAATCCGTACAATATAATTATGTGGACAAGGGGATATTGGTTCAATTAGATTATTCAAATGATTCTGGCAATTAGGCGGCAGTAACAAGATTAATATTCATTAGTGAATTAGTTCTACTTAGAAGAATAACTTCAAAAGGAAAAGTATTTTAAATTTATAGTCAAAATTTCCAGAAGATAATGAAATATATATTACTGAAATAAAAAGTACAAAAATATAAAATTGGAACTGAAATAATGACTTTTTGGCTAAAAATGATTTCAGGTTTAATTGAAGGAGCCGTTTGGTTGATTGTAATTTGTAGTATAATTAATCACGTTATAAGATACAACATAATATAATGCAATGTTTAGTTAGTGGTATAAGAAAAAATAAGTATCGCATTAAGTTGTGCATAAATTTATGTATGTGAGATTAAATATGAAATAAAAATATGTGTATTAGCAATAAACAAATTTGTATAACATTAATCCTTTCTTTAGTCATTGCATAATGATTTTTTTTATTAATTACTATTACAAAACAATTAATTCATTATTAAATTCAGATTTCACCTCAAGAAATTAAAGGATATTCTCATGTTTGTAATTTGAAAACAAGTTTCATTAGTTATTTTTTTGCAATGACAATACATACGTTAATTATTTATTAATTTATACTTATTTTTCTTGTACGATTTTCATCACATATGTATTTCAATATTAATTATATTCTTTTTAAATATTAATACTAATTAGCATGAGATGCAATCCAACACACATGTTCGAATATTTCACTATATAAACCGAACGATACGTAAGGTAGAGGTACAAGAGTTTTATTTCTATTCTAACTTGTAAAAAGTGACAGTTGACACCAAGAGATTGAATTCTTCATAGACTTTTCATCAACTCTAGAATATAGATTAAATTAGGCACCTTCTGACTATTAAATATTGAAGAAGAAAGAAACTTCCATTTACTTTTACTTTTTCATTTTTTCTTTTTGTACATGTTAATTTTAATTTATTAAAAAAAAATCATTTAATAATATTTTACTTTCAAATCATTTTTAAAAAATCTAATACGAAATATTAATTTATCAATCATTATTTCTTAACGCCTTTAAAGTCCCATGGCCATGGATAAGTAAGAGGGTGAGTTGAGAGTATACTCTACGTCCAAAATATAGATCATGCATTCCCAATTAAAAAGGATGACTTTTAGTTTATTTATATTATGTTAGCAACTAACTTGGTTTGTGTTGACTTTTCTCTATTCATGTTTTTTTATTTTTCTAATCGATATTATAATGGAGCATGATTAATTTAAATTTATATTATATGTAACTCATTTAGAAAAGTACTCTCTATTAAAAAAAAAAATTATATTTAAAGCTCGAAAATGAGACATATGATCAAGAGAAAAACAATCTTTATCTATGGTATAATCTGCACATGTATAACTAATTATACACTTCAAACTAAAATTTGATCAGGACTAAAAAAGGAATACAAAGAAATGAGAAGGAACAAATAACCAAAACATAATTGCTTAGAAACCTCTTGTTCGAAAACAATTATAAGATTAGATTGATTATATATGAGAGTCAACACTCAACACATCTATTTTTATGTGAATTGAGTTGTTAATTCTTTAAATATAACTATATATTATAATAAAAGAATAAAAATTGACAATTTTATGATAAAGAGAATTTAATATTATTTTAAAATTATAGCTAATGTTTCCATATATAAATATCGCCGTCATTTGATATTAAGGAGCCTTTTTTGTTTCGGAAATTTTCTCACATTTAAATATTTTTTTGGCATAAAAAGAAAGTGAATATTTCCTTCCTTTTTTGTTTTATTCTTTTCAAAATTTGTTTTTGCAAAAGAATTTTTAAAAATAGTAAGCGAAGTTTAGTTTGGTAAACGTTTAAATTTTAAAACCTTTTTGTGATTTTATTCCCTCCAAAATATCTTTTACTTTCACCTTTTGAGATTCAAATAACTTGTTGGTTATTAGTCGATTTCTAATTTTTACCAAAGAAGAGTTTATAACTCTATTTAAACAATTTATATACCCGCAAACAATTTGATCAACAAATTCCCCCACCTTATTAATATACAAAAAAGTTTACAATTTATAATTAATTTTATAAAATTTTAAAATATTAAATTTATATAATCTAATTTAGTTTCAGAAATTAGTCAAACTTACCTTAAAAAAATACTCATTTTGAAAAGGCAAAAAACATTAAAATTTTGAACAAAACGCCACAAATCGGAAATTTCAAAGGCAAAATTGAAAGACAATTATTTGTACAGAAAAGGATGCCTCCATAATAAAACCCCATGAGAACAGAACATCAACATTGGGATCTGTGCACAGACTTGCAATAAATTTCCATAGAAATTTTTATTTCAAGATTTGTCTACTCTGCGAAAACAAGAACCAGTTTTCTTCTTCAAACCCAAACGTCTTTAATAGTAGCTTGGATTTTAGTTTTTATCTTCTTCTTCTTATTTTTTACTACTTGTTAATGACAAAATAGCAGCTTCACCTATATGGATTTTGATAATATCTGTTGAGATATTCTGTTTTAAATTTTAATTAATTTTCTTAATGACTAATGTGAAAAAATAGAATTGAGAGAATTTTTTTTCCCAATTTGGTGTTCAATGAAAGTTGAGTTTGGGAATATGGGGATTTTGGAGCATGGCAAAGACAACAAGCCTTTATCATTGAAAGTGCTTCAGTTTCTCTTGTTGTTTTTGGGTTTAGGAATTGCTTTATCAATTTTAAGTATGTGTATGCTTAGATTTGCAGAATTGAAGAATGTACTCCCTGTGGTTCAATCGAGAATAAATCCATGTTTTCAACAACAAAATAGTTTAGAGAATTGGATTAGGCCTCTATCAAACTTGCATCATTCAATGAATGATGCTGAGCTTTTCTGGAGAGCTTCATTTGTTCCTCAAATGAAAATTTTGCCTTTTAAGAGAACGCCTAAAATCGCGTTCTTGTTCTTAACTAGGGGCTCTCTGCCTTTGGCTCCGTTGTGGGAGAGGTTCTTCAAGGGGAATGAAGAGCTTTATTCAATCTACATTCATAATTTGCCATCTTACAAACCTGATTTCCCAACTTCATCTGTGTTTTATGGCAGGCAAATTCCTAGTCAGGTAATGTGATTGTACAAATTTTATTCAAAATTATGCACAAAATAGTTTCCCTAGCTTTTGAATTGTGTAAACCATTTTATCTAGTTACGTCTTCAACACGTCTCCTCACATGAGAGGTTGATATGTTTTGATGCTCATTTAGAAGTGTTTAAGCCTTTAGAGAGAGCAGAATTTATTTACGTAATTATGTCTTCAATAGTGACACTTTCGAAAGAGTATCTAGCACCATTGTTTGTCAGAAATATTTTCATTTACAGGGTGAAGTTTATTTGCTTCTTATATTAGAAGATTGATTTGAGTTATTTTGGTGACGCAAGGCTGCAACTTTCTGATTCCATTTTTCCATATCCGTATGTCAAAAGATATTTGTTGATGCTATTTCCATGTTTTGCAACATTTAGTGATCCGAGTTGCTTTAGTATTCTTCTAAACGTTGATATAAGATAAGTAGAACTGACGAGGCTAGTTTGATTCCAATTTTTTTCTGATCATCTGAAATCACCTCTGAGTCTATTGTACTTAGTAGTAATATGTATTCTGGTCATATAATTATGTGGCTTTCATTTCGCGTAGGTGGCAGAGTGGGGGGATATTAGCATCACTGATGCTGAAAGACGGCTTCTTGCTAATGCATTGCTTGATATCTCCAACGAATGGTTTATAATCCTATCAGAGTCGTGCATTCCTCTCCACAACTTCAGTGTTATCTATCGATACATATCAGAATCCAGGTACAGCTTTGTGAGTGTGTTTGATGATCCTAGATCTGTTGGAAGAGGGCGTTACAATTGGAAGATGTCACCTGTGGTTAAAATCACTCAATGGCGTAAAGGATCTCAGTGGTTTGAAGTTAACAGGAAATTGGCTGTTGACATTGTTACAGATGAGGTATACTACCCCAAATTTAAACAGTTCTGCAAACCATCATGCTATGTTGATGAACACTATTTCCCAACAATGCTGCACATCCAATCCCCTCATCTCCTGACAAATACGAGTCTCACTTGGGTAGACTGGCATAGAGGTGGTGCTCATCCTGCTACATTTGGAAAGGCTGATGTTACAGATAAGTTTCTCAAGCAACTTTCGGAAGGCCAGAGGACCTGTGTCTACAATAACCAGACGACTTCATATTGTCTCCTTTTTGCTAGAAAATTTTCTCCTAGTGCATTAGACCCTTTATTAAAACTCTCGTCCAAGTATCTAGGCTTCTGAAATTCCATTGCTTTGTGATCTGATATATTCAAGTATAAAAATCAGCCTTCGGCCACATGATTGCTGAAGGCCTGATGAAATGATAGACATTGTCATGTTATACTAAAGATATATCGATATTTATGATCATGATGATAATATTATATGAAATCCCAGTATTTAATATTTGAGTTGGATGTCTACTGTACTGGCATGCATTAACTTTTTCACATCTATTACAATTTAGATGCTCTATTTGCAGTATGATACATCAATACTATTATGATTCAAAACACCAGTTGTGGAAACAAAGCTGAACTTAATTATTGTTGACACAAGGGAATGATCGACACTAAAGTTTTGTTCAACAAAGGGTTGTAGGGAATCATTTACATACTAAGACTATTCATGTGTGTAGAATCACTAAACTAAAGAAAGCTACTTGCAGCAAAGCTTCCAACAGAAAATATCAAAGATGTTAACGAGCTATCTCATCGATCCACTTACAAAACATTGTATATATTATGCTACCGCCATTGGCAAGAAGTTTAAATTGTACATTCTGCTGAAAGATAAGAACATGAGCATATCCTTCCTCCACTAACTTCCACCTTAATTTCATTTCAGAGAAGTTGATCTCTTTTTTTAACTAAGAAAACATTTTTAAGACTGGACATTCTCATGTATCTTTACTGTTGTCCTACACATTTAGCAAGTTTCTGGTCAATGTACAGAGTCAGAAAGTATAACGGAGCAGGATGATTGAAAGAGAAAATCAAGAGAAGGAAGAAATTTTGTAGAAAAAGAATGAAGCTGTATTGCTTTTCACTTTCCATTGAATATCTATACAGTAAAGAATCTTTAATCCAAGAGGTAAACTATAAAATGAGGGAAATTTAGATAAGGGAAAACATACAGAAGAAAGGGCTTTTCTTACAACATTAAGTTGTAAGGTTTTGCATACTAGTAATTCATTTTCCTTTCTTCTTGTATAGACCTAAAAATCCGAGCTGCAGATTCAGATGCTGACTTTGGGTTATGGGGCACAACCTTGATGACTTGAATTTGCTGCTCCGTGTCGTTATCTTGAACTGGTTGATCTGAACCTTTTGCAGTTGGTGTGACAGGAAAAAGAGAAAGTGCACCTTTTTGCACCCTCTCAGGAGGACTACTTGCAGTACTTCCTTGCATGTCACTCCCTCTATCCGCCTGAATGATTCGATCACAATCTGACATGGCCGCGCTCTTCAGGCATGATATGTTGCATGATTTTTGATGAGGCCTAACTAAGTTGACATCATGCATAAATTGACTATTCTCCTTCTCACTTGACCTGATTCTGGAAATTGGATTCATTTGCTCGATAGCTGAACTTGAAGCAGATGGCTTTATCACAGGCATGGAATACGGTTGAATGCAGGATGGATCAAAGAGTGCAGGACCAGGAAAAATCCCAGCACCTTGCTTGTGGGAAGTCGGTACACTATAAGGCACATTCGCGAAGTCTCCACCTATATGTGGAGATAGGGTCACAGGCCTGACACTACCATAAGCTGGCGCTATGATCCCTCCAGGCGGTGGACAAGGTCCTGTGTAAGGTTTATAAACAAGTCCTTCAGAAGGTGACCTTATTGGAACTAACCACTGATATCCAGGAGGTGGTTGGAAGGATCGAGGTGCTAATTTTGGATCGGATACAAAAGATCTCGATGTTGGTGTCCCTACATTTAGTTTTTGAGATGACTGCTGTGGTATATTCTTCTTATCATTATCTTTGCGGAGAGGAAGATAAACATTATCTGCCGTAAGTTCAAAATTGTTTGGTTTTGTAGAATTTTTCTGTTCCACCACAGGAGGTTCAAGAACATCATCACATGGCAAATTCTTCAAGGAAGAAAATTTGATAGAAGGTTGGTGGAGATAGAAGTTGTCTTTGAAAAATATATCTGGTGATCTGGCCATCATTTTCTGAACCTGCAAAGATGCTAAAATAAGTAAGTTCTTCCAAAATTTAAGCAAAACACTAAAAAACCTCCTTTACCCCCTTCTTCTTATTGATTTTTTGCACTTGCACTTTGCCTCTTCAAGACAACAAAAGAAAAAAGGCAAATCTAACTAATAGAAGTCTTTAAAGTACCTTTGTTAGTCTGTGTAGCTCAAATAGTTGTACTGCAAAGACCCGCTGCTGGCTGAAAAATAGTGAAACAGAAGTAAAATGGTAGATTTCAGAAAAAATATTGGAAGAGGAAACAGAATAAGATCAGCCTAACATTATTATTTCTCAGAAATTTGTTGAAGAATATGATTTTAAGGTTTATGCAAGTGAAGCAGTGATGACAACAAACATAGACCTAGAGGCTAGACTAACATGAAACTTCATATCGATAATTACAACTTTGAGGTTCTTGTATAAGTATGAATATGGTGTTTATGCCAATTTGAGTACTTTAGTTTTCATCTACTTTTATAGGTCATAGTTCCCGAAGATAACACCTTTATGAAGATGAAACAGATGTAATGGAGCGAAAAGAAAAATATATGATATGAACATGCATGATATAGGTTGAAAGTAGACAAATTGTGATCGGCAGATATCTTCGACTAACTCCTAGATCAAGCCACACATTTTCATTTCTACTGCCATGATAAGTTGGATATACATACATAAAAGATGACCAGTTAAAGAAACTTACTGTGCAATGGTTCTTCTTGTTTTCCAGAATAATTCTTGACCTATCAATGCTATGACATTATTTGAAGACATTTTTTCTACTAATCTAGAGTTCAAGGAGGAAGCTTCTGAGATCCCTTCACTTCTGTCTTCACCTGCTACACCTGGAGCACCACTAATCTGGTCTTCAGGACAGTCAGAAGAGGATTTAACTCTCTTAGGACTCTGATGGCTGTCTCCGTGAGGCAGAAAGGAACACGACGGACCTTCCATTATGGAAGCACATCTCTTAATCGTGGCATCATCATGCTTCACATCAGTAACATCTTCTGCAGCCTTCCTTTTGTGTAAAATCCAAGAGTCTTCATCAGATTCAGAATTAGAATCACTACATCTATTCAAGTCACCTACTAGACCACATCTATTTTCCGGAGCACTTGATACAACTGATTTACTAATATTTAGCTTGCCATGTCCTGGACCTGGAGCTTCATGCACCATTGTCGTCTCTATAGTTGACAGATGAGGAGCAGGTAGTTTAACACAATGTTCTCTCTTTTGGTACTTTGCTAGATCTCCAGCTTGACTTATACTATGCTCCCTGCAATTTAGTTGCATCCTGTCTGTATCCTTATATTGCTTTTCGAAAACGCTTTGAAATTTCAAAGAAGGTTTAACCATTTTTTCCTTGTCTGCACTTTTATGTATGTTACCATGATATAGAGGTTTCCCTGATGTGACGAAATTCGGACCACAAAAATCATTTTCCCTTCCTAACTTATTGGCAGAAGGTTTACTATTATAGTATGGTAAACTGTGTGGATGAATAGGATTAAGCTGAGATGTAGCACGCAAATTCCCTTTAAGACATAAAACTTGAGGATTTAGCGACTTGACTGGTGGAACATCAGGATGTCTCATAGTAAAGTTCATCCCTCCAGAAGAAAACGGAGGTATCGCAACCAAATGACAAGACTCAGATGAATTTTGGAGAAAATAATTCCTTTTGTTGCAACCAACCTACAGGGTGTTCAAGAGCTCGTGTGAGGAGATCGAATGGGACAGCATAATGAACCTTCTTCTTGGTGATAGCAGTCATAATTGGTCTTAAGTATTCAAGAAATTCTCATCTAAGGAAACACACTGCATAATCTATGAAGCAAACGTACAATTTTCTAATACCTTGAGTTGGCAATGAATGAAGAGGATAAACAGATTCACTCAATCTGAAACATCACAAGCATAATAAGTAAACAAAAGGAATGGAAGTAGATTGAAAATCCAAAGGTTTGGGATGATGAAAACAGGAAATATTTCTCTAATATAGTTTACCTCCTATTTCTAAGACCATACGAATTGCATAGATTATTTGTGTTCCTCATACAAAACTCAAAAAGACAAGTTATCATAATTCTATCAAACAACATACTACCAATACTTGGAAGTCGGTCGGAAGAACACACTAAATTAAGTACTTACAAGACTAGAAGATGCTGCAGGAATAGAGTTTCCACTATTAGGCGGGAGAGGCAGTATTGTCATGGTTGCAGGAGTAGAACTAGAGGTGAAACTTTGAGGCGATGACTGTTCACAAAGAGCCATTTTGTTTCTGGGAGGTGCTCTTGGACCTCCTTTATCTGCATCATTTATATGTAATCTAGGAAACAAAGGATCCATATGCCTCTCTTCCTCTTTTTCTGTCTTCATCTTTTCCTTCTGCCTCACGTGTTAATTAAGATTAAGATGAAGCCTACTCTCTGTATGCTAAGACAAAATTTCACTACTTTTCTCGTAAACGAACCATATCATAGCTCACCACTTACAATCCAAATTCTAGCTGTTCCACCAAAGCTATAAGTCATCCCACCTCAAAAGATCGATTCTTTTGACTGTAAATCAGTAGCAATAAGCAAAACCACATGGAATTACAATTCAATCTTGATGCAAGAGAAAGAAAAAAACATATCTGTCTGTGATACAAATTAAAAGAGCAAATTCTTCGACTTCCTCAAATAGAGGATCCCAATCTAAACATAAAACAATGTGGAAAATGAAGATAGCAAATATAAAGAGAGGAAATCTTAGAAGAAGATCAGATCAACAAATAGATGAGAAGGAGAATAAAATGAGGGGAATGTGGGGTGGCTAGAGAATTAGTGGAACTTCCATGAGTTAGAAGGCAGAGAATTAGCAGTACGTAAATATAAAAATTAAAAACAACATGTAAATAGTGACTGAGTCGCTCTCCTTTTCTTTCTCTCTAAGGCAAATGCCGAAACAAGTGTGTACGCGTTATCGAACCACATGTAAGAAATTGTCCAATCTTTTTACGAAATATCTGCCAAATCTCACCATACGCTTTTTCCTCAAAGGACTAAAAACTTACCCGAACCCGCCGCTTATTATATCGCATAAACTATTTTCTACATTAATATATAACGCGTTTTCTAATAAATGTATCACGTGTATTTTTTTAATTCTACAAAATGGAGTTTAAAAAGGCTATTTTGCAACTTTTCA